TTCGCCTAGCACTGGAATTCACTGATGGAAGACCCTGCAGAGGGTGGTTTTCTCCCCTCCTCTCTGCCTCCGAGCGTCGCGAATCATGCATAATGTATCAATGCAGGCTGCAGCTGCTAACAGCAACCTGGCTTATGAAGATATTTTGAAAATTGTTTTTTATTACTCACGGAAGTAGCCTTTTATCTGCTCCCCACAGGAAAAAGAGAAAGAGAGAGAGAGAGAGAGATTGTTTAAAACATAATGGTAAATTAGCAAAATATTTTCTTCCTGGGTTTGGACTCCTTGTACAGAAAAACAACACAGAGCCTACTAAATGCAAACAAAAGGATTTGCAGTGACTTAAGCGGTCTTTACAGTAAGCACTTGAGCAGAGAATAGGGGTGCATAGTAAAAAGACAAAACTGGAAGAGCCGGAAGTAGACAGGGACGGCCCTACCATTAGGCAAAGTGAGGCAATTCCTCCTGAGCCCCTTGGCCATTCCCATCTGCTGGGAAACAGAACTGTGTGTGCCACATCAGGACTGTATGTGCATCTCATGCACCCAGTAAACCAGTCTTCTTCCCTCAGGTGCATCAGAGGTTGCTGTCTCGTTTTTTGGTGTTGTAATAAGATTCAACTGACAGCCCAATCAAGTTCTGTACGTGGAATTGAGTGTGTGTGCCTTGTCCTTTGCCTCAGACAGAAAAAAGGTATTGGGGTGGCCCTGGAAATATTAGTAACTGGGTGGGGGATGGGAATACCATACTGTGTGTTGGGTATTGTGTGACATTGGAATGCAAAAAGGTATGTTCTGTGTGCATAGAAATTCATTATTTTGAAATTAACGCCAAAGTTCTTTGCAAGGGCCTGTGTCCAAAAACCCATGGAAGCTCACTTATTTGCCTCGTTCCCTAATGTGTTCCTAGCTCACTTCTTAGAAAACAGGACACCTGTTTTTCTCAGTGAAATGGGGAAAACTGAGGGATGTTTCTGTTCTATCATTGCTGAAGAATGTATCAGTGAAGCAGAACAATGAGGAATCAGAAGGTTTGCAATCTTAGACGAAAATACACTATATATTCAATTCCAGAAACGTTGCTGTGTTGCATTGTTGGTGCAGAAACAACAAAAGCATATTATGGCATACCACAGGAGATCAAGAGCCGGGAAGAGAAATTGAGGACGAAAATACATTATGCGGACAGACTTGAAAATTCTTCAGGTAGTCATGGTGGTTTCACTCGCAGGCTTTAATTAATGTGTCTCTCCCCCTGACACAGCAGAATGTATATTTTTACAGGAGTAGACTTAGCGGTGTAGGATTTGTATCATCTAATTACTGCCATTCTCTTCTTCTCAAGTAAGGAAAAGGCGGCATCTCTTTGTGTGCCTTCTTGCCTCCTGCAGACTGTGTCTACAACTGAGGATTTCTGCACTTACAGGTGAGATGGCTATACATGGATATACATAAAAAAGGGGGTGATGCCGCCCTAGTCCTGGCTGCCTATAGCTACTGGCCCCACTTTTAAGGTTTTAGTATTGGTATCTAAACCCCTTCACAGCCTGGGACTCAGGTATTTATCAACATACCATACACACCAGCTCCTATGGGCCAAGGCACTTTCGCACCAGCCCCCAATATTTTTTTCTGAGGGATCCAGGGCCCCTCAACATTCAAAGAAGATGGCACCTCTGCAACACACCTTGTCAAATATAATTTGCCCCCGATTGTGTGGTTAACCCAGAGGAGGTGGGGACTCTTCTTGTTGTCCCTTCTGAGGATTTGGCCCATGTGAAAGGCTTTTTCTCCTGATTCTGGAGTTCCCTTCCCCAGGAAGTCTGGGCAGTGGAACTTGCCAACAAGTAAAAACAATTTTATGTTCCCATGCTTTTGAAGTAGACCAGTAGCTACCATGCAGATCTCACCAGCTCAGCATTGCTTTCTCATAGGAGTCATCTACTTGTGCACAGTGTATGTAAACATGTGTGAATACTAGTGAGAACCAGTTGGTTAAAGGGTTGGACTAGGACCTGGGGACAAGGGTTCGAACCACCACTCAGCCATGAAGCTCGCTGTGTGACCTTGGGCCAGTTACTGCCTCTCCACCTAATCTACCTCACAGAGTTGTTGTGGGGATTAAATGAGAAAGGGGAGAACCATGTATGCCACCTTGAGGTCCTTGGAGAAAAAGGCAGGAATAGAAACGCAACATATCAATAAAAGTAGGGCCAATAACAAAGAATTCTCAGCCCTGCCTGTAACTTGAGACATCGACACATACATGCTAGCCACCTGCCTGGAGATGTTGTTTGTTTCGGTTAAAGCGAACACATTTTTCGCTTGCTGCGAAGGCTACTCTTGCTACAGCAAAGCTTTGTTGCCCTTCCTCATGTATTTGTACATGCTACTATTGTTGGGTTACAGTGACAGGAAAAAGGAGAGAAAAAACACTGATGTGCACACAATAGGCAATAATGCATTTCAGGGAAAAGCTTTGTTCCACATGTTAGATTCTGAAAAGACACTTTAAAAAATACTCAGGTGTGGAGAACAGCAAGCTAGCATGTATGGGGGCTGCTTCCCCCACCCTTGCCTTTCCCTACAGGTTCAGGGATAACACTCCTGAAGTGGAAAGGGAAACAGGCACTGTTGTTCCTTCCTCCCTCCGGCGAATGCCTGTACAAGCACCAAATTTATTTTAGTGCCTTTGGGGATGACAATTGATTTCTGAACAAGAGAGATGGGAGTAGAGCTGATCTTTGTGAAGAAAAGTAATATTTGCTGCTGCCAGTTCCTGGATATTCCTCCCTGTGGCAGTGAATCTTTTGTGTGTGTGTGTGTGGTGTTTACAGAGGCCTCTGAAGTTGCTGAGAGAATTACTCCAGGGGAAACTGACACAAGGCCATGTGTGTGGTGCTGAGACGACTAGTCAAGATAAATTGGTGGCGAGACAGTAGGAAGGAAGGACAGTCTGAAGGAAACAAATATAACTGCCCCCTACAGGCAATGAAGAAGGATTATTTGACGGAACAAATGCACTTTGGATGGGCTTAAAGTTGTAGTGGTTACAAAGCTTTAGTTGCATAGCACCCAATGTCTTTCTACTTTCTTTTTATTTAATGGTTGGCATTGTGATTTGAAATTTATTTATTTATTTATTTATTTATTTATTTAAAAGAAATTTTATTAAATTTTCAAAAGTTATAAAAATCATAAGGACAAACATAGAAAAAAACAAACAAAGAAAAAAAACATACAAAAAAAAACACAAGTATAAGTTCATTTCCCTTTTTTTTTTCTTAACCTTACTTCCCGACCTCCTCATACCTTCCCTTACTGTTATTCCAGTTTCTATTGATATTTTCAGCAAATCCTTTCCTTTAGCTTTGTTTAAATCTTCACATTTCTTCCCTTTTTCTTAATCATTACAGCTAACAACCACTTAATTTCAAAGTCAACATCGTTTCAACATTCCGTAATTTTACAGTATTTCTTAAGGTATTCTTTTAAATTTCTTCCAATCTTCTCTCGCCGTCTCTCTTCCCTGGTCTCGAATTCTGTCAGTCATTTCTGCCAGCGCCATATAATCTATTACTTTCATCTGCCATTCTTCCAGAGTGGGTAAATCTTGTGTCTTCCAATACTTTGCAATAAGTATTCTAGCTGCTGTTGTTGCATACATAAAAAATGTTCTGTCCTTCTTTGGCACCAATTGGCCGACCATGCCCAGGAGAAAGGCCTCTGGTCTTCTTCAGAAAGGTATACTTAAAATACCTTTTTTCAATTCATTATATATCATATCCCAGAAAGCCTTAATCTTGGGCATGTCCACCAAAGGTGAAAAGAATGTACCTTCGGTCTCCTTACATTTCAACATTTGTTATCGGGTAAGTGATAAATTTTTGCAAGTTTGACTGGGGTTAGGTACCACCTATAAACCATTTTCATGATATTTTCCTTTAAGGCATTACATGCCGTAAATTTCATTCCGGTGGTCCATAACTGATCCCAGTCAACACTCGTAATATTGTGACCCACATCTTGAGCCCATTTAATCATTGTAGATTGACCGTCTCATCCTCAGTATTCCATTTTAACAGCAGATTATACATTTTTGACAAAGTTTTTGTATTGGATTCTAACAGTTCTGTTTCTAGTTTAAATTTTTTCCACCTGGAAGCCAATTTTCTTGTCTTTATTATATGTTTCCAAAATTTGATAATAATGGAGCCAGAAATTTATTTATTTTTTAGTACCCTTTTGTAGTGGTCTTGTAGCCTTTTTAGCCTCAGGTGAGAAGAGCTTTGCGCCCGGGAGAGGAAAATGGGTGTCAACAGACACTCAAGGAATAGTTTCAGAGAAAAAGCTTTATTCTACCATCCGGCTGGTAGAAGGAGCAAGTGTGATAGATTCACAAAACAAGCACGAGTTCGCAGACATTTGCACAGAGCATATATTCCCCTCCAGTTCCCTCCCCTTTCTCCTCCTCCTCAAGAGTCCTGCCCCACAATGAGTTTCCTGAGCATGAACAGAAAGCTCCCTGTCTTGGGACTTCTTGTGGACTTTTGGCGCCCTTCCCAGGAAAGGGGGATGAGCGAGGAGCCTTGCGTTCAGCGTGTTCAAGATGTTGCAACTAGAGTGAGATAAGAGTTCAGTTCTCAGGCTTGCTCTGACAGAGTCTATTCATTAGCTTTTTGAAGCCTTCTCGTACTGATAAAAGTAACGGTTTGCCTATGCATCTTGTGAGAAAACAGAGGAAAACTTTAGCTGTGGATTTTTAGAAGAGAGAAAAGGAATTTTGGACAGTTTTGAGGCTGGTGGGGGGGTGTGACTTCAGGCCTAGGTGGGGTCACCTGTCCTCACCTCCTTCAGTCTAATGCAGTTTCCATATTGGTTGTTGGCTGTGGTTTGGACTCTTCTTCTTCTTCTTTGTGCAATGCCCAGACAGTGATAACTACGGAGCCTAATTATTCAGTAAATAAGGAACAAGCAAACAAATAAATGTGGGTGGAGGCCCATGGATGACAGTTTCCTCAGGTAATTGTCATCACTAAACAGAATCCTTTATATGGGCCCTGTTTTCCTCTTGCTTCTCTTAAGTCACACTTACAGTTGTCTCCCTTTTTCAAGAAAATGGCAGAATTGTTGCAAGGCCTGGTCCCTAATCCCAGGTGTGGAGGAGCCACATGGATCTTAGGCCTCAAAATCCATGGTCTGCCTATAGGACCAAGTAAGGGTAAGTTTCTTGTGGTAGTATCTCCTACTTGCTTCTAGACTGCTTTCCCTGCCCTTCATAAAATATACAGACTATCCACCCAACAGCCATGGCCTCCTGAGCAGGGGGTCAACTTGCTATCTCTTGCTCCATATGCACTAAACACTTGGTGGAATATCATTTGCTCTGCTCCTCTGAGCTCACATTTCCATCTATCTAATGTATTAAAACATAGTAGTCTTAAAACCACATCTTCAGAGAGACTAATGGAATAAAAGTAACATATTATGGCAGTTTTATTACCCTTAAATATGCTTTTAGTCTTCATATGAAACATTTCCAAAATAATGTTTGAGAGATGTAGAATGTGGTGGAATATATTTTATACACTGGGCATCTTGGGACTTTTCTCCACTGAAGACGGTAGGAGACTTGTAGCTATATCTAATGCAAGTTGAATCCATTCCCCAGTTCTTATCTTTGAAAAATATCTTATTTATTGTTGGATGGAAGTTCGGAAGAAAACCTATATTTTTGAAAATGATTCCAGTGTTCCATATTTCACTAAATCTTCTGATCAGTGTCTCCCCCCCCCCCCCCGTTTTGTCTGATAGAATACAATCCCACAGAAGAAAGGGTTTTTTGATGGCAACCATAGATGGTTACAACTACTCAAGTTCAGGTAAGTTAATTTATGCTTAAATATGTGATTTTACAACAATGATCCATTGTTATACATGAATAATTTTCTTTCTGGAAAGAGCATTGAGGTTAACTGTGGGGAAGGGAAGAGTTCAGACTGTTTAGTTTGCAGGACTAGAGATTAACCAAACACTACAAGTGGTACTCAATTAGGTTTTACACAGAGTAGACCCATTGCAGTTAATGAATATGCCTAAATTGGGGCTACATTTATTTCAATGAGTCTACTCTGAGTAAGAATAATAATTTATTATTTGTACTCCACCCATCTGACTAGGTTGCCCCAGCCACTCTGGGCAGCTACTTAAGAGTAAAACTTACCGTATTTTTCGCCCTATAGGACGCACTTTTTCCCTCCAAAATGAAGGGGGAAATGTGTGTGCGTCCTATGGGGTGAATGCAGGCTTTCGCTGAAGCCTGGAGAGCGAGAGGCGTCGGTGCGCACCGACCCCTCTCGCTCTCCAGGCTTCAGGAAGCTATCCACAAGCCTTGCGCGCCCGGCGGGAGGTCCCGCCGGGCGCGCAAGGCTTGGGGCGGCAGCCTGCAGCCCGAAGCACGGGGCGCGCTGCGGAGCACGTCCCATGCTTCGGGCAGATGTCCGCAAGCCTTGCGCGCCCGGCGGGAGGTCCCGCAGGCTCGCAAGGCTTGCGGGTGGCAGCCTGTTCTGGGGGCTGGGGTCGGGGGAAGCTTCGGGCTTCCCCCGCCCCAGCCCGCGGCTGGTGGGGGAAAATAATTTTTTTAAAAAATCCCCCCCAAAAAAAACTAGGTGCGTCATATGGGCCGGTGCGCCCTATAGGACGAAAAATACGGTAGTTGAATATCACCCTACAAACCCATTATCTCTATTTCCCATAAACTTCTCAGGGTTGCTGTTCTATAGACCAGAGTGCTAATGGCAGAAGAGTTAGGAGAAGCAATAGTACCACTTCAAATAAAGACATTATACTGCACTGAAGTAAAATTTACTGTATTTCATTTTTACACAGCTATGAAGGCTACTGGTTAATGTGTCATGAATACCCTGCTATACTGGATCATTGGTCTTAATGACAGCAGTGTGGAGACTGCAATGCAAAATGAATGGCCACTGAAGGATATTTTAACTGAAATCAGCACACAGTTATTGACCCTGTGTTGCAAAGTTAGGAAAGATAATTGTATTCTAGGGGCCCAGAAGAAAAGAAAGCATTACTGCTTTGGGTTGGTTCCCTAGTTACCTTATTCTGTTTGGGTTAGGTTTTTAAAAGTGGGTGGTTTTCTTACATATTTGACCTGTGATTAAAAGAGCATAGGATGTAATAATAGAGGGTCACACCATCTGAAATTTAATGGACTTCCTCCAGTTTGCCAGAATGAATGAATAGATCTTGAATTTCACATTCATTTATTTGCTGTAAATAAAACCATTCAATGTTGCTTTTGAGCAGTTATGCTATACTCTGAAAATAATGTGTGTGCAAACTAAATAAATAACTCATAGGTGAGTTACCCAAGGAAGCAAATGTTTGAGAGCACTCAAAATAAAGCTTCAAGCTATAGTCTCCTTGCGGTATGGACCTCCAATATGTGACCAAAGCATATTTTGTGGTGCAGAGCTCTTCAAACACTTGTCTGTTATTCAGATTATGTCTGCACCCCTTATATTGAACTAGGAACTAGGAAATAAGAAACTGCTGCTCCTCTGGAGGAAAAAAACAAATCAGTGAAGCATAACAGAAAGTAACCACAGCTCTTTCATACTATTATTATTACTTTGTTGTGTTGTTGTGTGTGTTATTTTGATTTGGGCTCTCCATGTCTCAGCTCATCTTTAAGGTCAGCTGGATTTGAATGACTCTTTACCACTTTCTTGTCTCAAAGCTGGGTTAAAGAATAGCGATAGCAATAATCTTCCTTTTCTCTCCAACATTTAAGTGATGGGGAACGCACAGCTTCTAAATTGTGGTAACATAGAGGTAGTGTGGTCTAAACCATAGCTGTGGTCTAAACCACTGAGCCCTAGGGCTTTGCCGATCAGAAGGTCGGCAGTTCAAATCCCCACGATGGGATGAGCTCCCATTGCTCGGTCCCTGCTCCTGCCAACCTAGCAGTTTGAAAGCACGTCAAAGTGCAAGTAGATAAATAGGTACTGCTCCGGTGGGAAGGTAAACGGTGTTTCCGTGCGCTGCTCTGGTTCGCCAGAAGTGGCTGAGTCATGCTTGCCACATGACCCGGAACCTGTATGCGGCTCCCTCGACCAGTAAAGCGAGATGAGCGCCGCAACCCGAGTCGTCGTGACTGGACCTTGCAGTCAGGGGTCCCTTTACCTTACCTAGAGGTAGTAGGAACAGTCGTCACCTTTTTTTGAAAGCAGGCCACTGTCTGCAGCTCTTTCCCAGCATTGGCATGCCATGTAAGTCAGAAGGGAATTCTGATTTTAGATGTATGGATATATATTTGCATTTCCTTTCCTTCTCATCTCATGGTTTTATATCTCACACCTTCCCCATAAATATATCTGCAGACTTAGGGTAACAGTTCACGTTACTGGATAAAATGAGGTATTGTCCACTAAAGTTTATACCCCAATAAATGGGTTGTCCTTCAGGGTGCTACAGGACTCTTTGTAAGTTCTGATTATGACTTATGCTTGGCATACAGTTACCAGCACTCTCTCAGGAGGCTCACGGGGCCCCTTGCTAGAAGAAATACATAGAATACTACCAGGAATCCTACTGATCCTGGAATCTGAAGCTACAGAAAAAGATCTATGTGGGGCCATAAATTATGGCTGTAGGTTTTGTTTTAAGCGATTACTCTGTTGTTTTATCTTTTTGGAAACCACGGTGAGGTTTTCTTCTACAATCAAGCGCTATATAAATTTTATTAAATAAATACATGTGCCCCTGCCCCTTGTAAATAGGATTGCAAAGACAAGAACACTCTCTCCCCTCCTATGGTTCAAGCATCTGCTGTTCAGAAGCATTGCTGCCTCCAGCTGTGGAGGCAGAGCACAGTCGTCATGTCAGTAGACCCTGTCAGCTCTCTCCTCCATGATTTTGTCCTATCGTCCTCTAAAGCAGTGTTTTCCCAACCGGTGTTCCGCGGCACAGTAGTGTGCCGCGAGATGTTGCCTGGTGTGCCGGGCGGCTACAGCGGCAACCTCGGGCGGCTCCTGAGGCGGCGAAGGCGGCCCAGCGGCCGGAGGCGAAGACGGTTGCGGCTGCTCCCGACGCTCACCAGCGGCCTCCTCTTCCTCGCCGCTGCTGCTTCGCGGCTTCTCCTCCGCCTCCTCCTTCTCCTCGCCACCGCCTTTTTCGGGCTCCGGCTCCTTCTTCCCCTCAGGCTCCTCCGCGGAAGGCCCGTCCGGCAGCTCGGCCTCCGAGTCGCCGCTGCTGCTGCCGCCGCCGCCTCTTTCTCCTCCGCTACCGCCGCCGGGCTCTCCTCCTCCTTCTCCGGGCCCCTCGTCCTGGGCGGGCAGAGCGGCGGGGGTCTCGGCGGCCGCCGGGCTCTCCTGGGTCTCCTGCATGGGGGGCTGCGCGGCCTTCCCGCTCGCCTCACACGCGCGGCGCAACGAACAGGCAAGGCGGCGCGCTGGGCCGAAAAGGGGGAGGGAGGGGGTACAGAGCGCGCAGGCGCGCGCACAGGGAAGGCGCCCTCTCGCCGGGCTAATGTGCGCGAGAGCGACCCCGGGCGGCGAGTCTCGCGAGAGGGCAGGGACAACTCGGCAGACGAAAGGGGCGAAGGAACGGATTATATGTTAATTTCCTATGTTAATGGCTAGACCAGGGTTTGCGATCGGTTACGCCCAGTTATGCTTTCCCCTAGGAATTAGGCGTTCGGTCTTGAGGTACGCTCGCTTCACACCCACTTGGAGGTTCCCCGGCAAGGGGGAGGGAAAAAATTGAAAGTTACACCTCCCGGCGTGAGCTGCGCTGACGTCACGGGGCGGGGCTTTAATGGTGGTGTGCCGTGAGATTTTTTTCAGTAAACAGGTGTGCCGTTGCCCAAAAAAGTTTGGGAAACACTGCTCTAAAGCCATCCGAAGCTTGTTGCTATCACCCCCTCCTGAGGGAGCAAGTTCCCGTAGTTTTGACTATGTGCTGCACATTAAATGTGTCCTAAAACCTTCCAACTTCCAGCTTCGTCCGATTTCCCATGATTTCTGTAGTGCTATGGTTTTCCCAGTAGTGATGTGTGGAAGTGAGAGCTGGACCATAAAGAAGGCTGACCGCTGAAGAATTGGTGCTTTTGAATTATGGTGCTGGAAGAGACTCTTGAGAGTCCATGGACTGCAAGAAGATCAAACCTATCCATTCTTAAGGAAATCAGCCCTGAGTGCTCACTGGAAGGACAGATCCTGAAGCTGAGGCTCCAATACTTTGGCCACCTCATGAGAAGAGAAGACTCCCTGGAAAAGACCCTGATGTTGGGAAAGATGGAGGGCCCAAGGAGAAGGGGACGACAGAGGACAGATGGTGGGACAGTGTTCTCGAAGCTACCAGCATGAGTTTGGCCAAACTGTGGGAGGCAGTGGAAGACAGGAGGGCCTGGCAAGCTCTGGTTCAGGGGGTCACGAAGAGGCGGACACGACTAAAGAACAACAAAAGTCTACTGTCTGCAGCTGGGCTTAGAAATGGCTATTGCCACAAAGGATCAGGCTGCTCATGAATTTGTGGCTGAAATAAAATCTGATTTGAGGATCTCACAGCTCATTTTTTTATTCAGTGTATTTAAAATACATGAACCCACCCCCACCCCCGCCAAATGAAGAATCCAGGGAACTGTAGTTTGTTAAGGGTGCTGAGAATTGTAGCTCTGTAAGGGAAAATACAATTCCCAGGGTTATTTGGGTGAATTGATGTGCTTTAAATGTATGGTGTGCTCTTGTTAGTCTCCGACCAAAATGATGCATTAGCTCCTTGCTCAAGGCTGAGTATTGACACCTGTCCAAGGATCAAAGAAACTTCAAGGGCTAAGCAGCCAGTGTGGTATAGTGGTT